TCTCTTCCACATGTGGCCACTGTAGCAACTACTATTAAGCTTAGTGGTCAGATAAAACTGGATAGAGATCTCCTTAAATACCAAAAATCACAAACCTCTGATGTGTGGGGCTTTTGCTAGAAGTTTCTGTGTGCAGACTGGGTTACATCTTCGGGGTTCAGGAAGGCAGTTTGTAACTGTCTTCACTTCCTGCTTGTGCGGAACCTCAAGGTCATTGTGAGGAGATAACTCAGCCTCCTCAGGTCTTTCCTGAGCATGTGCACAGCCCTGCATGTGTGCCAGCTGCCATGAACATGCCAGAGCTTTTCAAAGCTCCTTATGGACATACCATTCCCCAGCTTTTCCTTTAAAGGCTTCTCCCACCCCCAGCTTTTTGTTTGCCTCAACTGTTAGTATGGCCTCAGGCAGCTGCAATGCTTTAAAAAATAATTACCATTGATTTCCCTACCCACCCTTGTGGTGCTGGGAATTGAACCAGGGCCACATGCTAAATAGACACTGAGATATTCTTCAACTCTAGCCACTGATCGTTTCTGACATGCTCTCAGGGGGGGGAAAAAAAAAAAGTTGCTCCCACTAGGGGAATTCTGAGTCCAGATAAAGCCAAGTCTCATAAGTGGGGTTTTTTAGGAGACTCCCAGACAGGTCAAATGACAACTCTCTACAAATAGAACTTTGTAGGATCTCCAACCTCATTCTGTTCCCTACAGTGATTTCTAGGCTACTGGTTTTCACCATGATTTCAGGTGGCCAAAGGATGGGTAGACTGCTGATGGGCTGTGGCTGCTTTCAGAACATAACCTTTCCCAAGTGACATTCTCTCCTAGCCTGATCCCCCCACCCATCCTATCTAAATCTCACCCCGTGCTTAACTACTAGCTCAACTTCCATAGCTCCTGGAGCTTCCTCTGAGCAGCCCACAGTCCATCTCCTGCTGATCACCACCCATGTCACTCACTCATTTGGATTCACCTCTGATGTGCATGCCTTGTCTCTCTAGCCAGATCATCTGTAATCCCAGCCGAATAAATGTTAAATGCTGAGGCAAACTGGTAAGACACATTGCAAGTGCATATCATTTGGCTTAGCAATTCCACATTCAAGAGTTTGCCCTATGAAAATAATCAGCAAAATGTACAAAAAAAAATCTAAGTATGTTAACTATGGTGGTTATGTAGAATGACAAATTAAAAAGCCTAAATGTTCAATAATAGAAACTGGTTATAATAAGGAACGCAGCTGAAATAATGAAGCAAACATTCACCTATTCAATGAAAGGATGCCAGTGATAGTTTTCTACACCACAAGGGCATGTCAAGAATATGGGTGCCATTTCTAAAAACAATTCCATCACCTCTGCCACCAGCTGCACTCATAAATTCCCAAATAGAACTTTGTGAGGGTAGAAAATACACATATATTTGAAAAGAGTTTTAAACGAAAATGCCAACTGATTATCTCTCCAGTAGGGTTTCCTTTTCCTCTGAACACTTTCTGTATGGTTTTACAGAAGTGAGCAATTCTTAAAATCTTAAAATTTATTGACTTTTTTCTTTTAGAAATCAAAGTATTTGCCCACATAAGCATGCCACTCCTGTCCACTGTTTTAAAAATTGTGGTGAAATCCACTGACGATAAAATTCACCCTCCCTTGCTTAAGCTCTTTCCTCCTCTGAATCTAATTAACATGACTACATTACTGCTCTTGAGCTGCCACATTCAGAAATGTCCCAATTTCTATTACAGAGGATGAGGAGCTTTAATTCAATTATACAGTGTTGATCCTTTCTCTCAATCGTTTCAGCTCAATTTTGTGTTAAACTCACATTCCACAAGATTAAAGTTAAGCATATGCCATTTATCATGAGCCACTTCTCTCTAGTATAGACCCCATTTCCTGGACACCACATCATTTTTTCCTCAACTTATTCCCTCTCTCTTTTGGATGGAGCACATGCTCTATAACTTCTAGAAAAAGGAAGTGGGGGAAGTCAATTCATCTGTGACTCTGCAGAGCTGAAACAAGTTTTTTCTGCCCTCACATTCCACTCACAGTCTGCTTGGACAGAAAATTCTAGGTTGAAGATATAATTAAAGGTGTTACTGCCTGTCTGTCTTCAAGTTTCCAATGTGACTCAGGAGTTCCATGTTAGTTTTATTCCTAACTATAAATACAGTTTTTTCCTCCAGAAGTTTTTTGGATCTTCATTTAATTCCTGTGTTCTGAAATTTCACCATGATGCATGTCTTTTTCAATCATTGTTCTGGGTTTTATTAGGCATTTTAACCTAGAAACACATTCTTCAGTTCTCAGAATTCTTATATTATTTCTTGGTAATTTCCTCCCTTGCATTCTTTTCTATTTTCTCTTTTAAATGTTAGACTTCCTGAATTTGTTCTCTAATTTCCTACTTTCATCTTCTCTCCCATCTCCTATTTTGCTTTTAAAATTTTGTTTTCTGGGAGAATTCTTTGTACATCTACAATTTCTAAACTTTATCTGTCATATTTAAAATGTTAAGGACTGCTCTTGTTCATCATTTGCTATTCTTTTTTATCATATCCTCTTGGTGGATACAATACCTTCTCTTAAGAATATAAATTATAATTTCTTTCATGTTTTCTTCTACTTCTGAACCATCTCTGCTTCTTCCAAGTTCTATTTTTTCTTTCATTTGTAGGCCTCCCACACAGGTCTTTCATTTTGTTTTAAATAAATTTTGAGCTACAATTTTTAAGTTAAAAGTACCCATTTTAAGTATACAGTTCATTAAGTTTTGGGAAGCATCCATGTCCATACAATTACACCACTATTAAGATATAGAACACTTCTGTCACCCCAAAAAGGGGTTCCTTCTCTTTTTCCAGTCAGTCCTAACCCCAGTCCCAACAACCACTGACCTGCTTCCTCTCACTACAGCTCAACCTTCCTTGAGGTTCTTGCAGATGGGACCACACCACATGCAGCTTCTGTATACTGCTTCTAGCTTTTGCTGTGCACAATGCTTTCAAGATTCGCCCAGATGCTTATATGTATCAGTCACACAATCCTTTTCCTTCCTGGATGAGATTCCTCCCATAACTAACTATTCCACCAGAGTTGAGTTTCCTGCTGATGGACATCTGAGGTGTCTCCAGTGTAGGCTATTATGAACTGAATCACAGTGAATACTCAAGCACACATCTTTGCGTGGACAAATGTCTACATTTTTAAGAATGGGGCACTGAAGGCCAAGTGATGCTGAGTGTAGAGCTGCTCAGGATGCCTACTTTAGGTTAGGGTCCAGAAAGCCAGTATGTCTGTCTCTTTGGGAGGAGTGGATGAGGATGAGAGCAAAGTTGACAGGTGGAAGGAGCTTGTTATTCAGTAAAGTGTTTCACTTACTCCTGGCTTCCTCTGGCCTAGCATCCTATCTCTTCTGCGCTGGTGTACCTGGCTTGGAGCCCCTGCCTCAGGAAAAAACCCTCTAGTCTCTGCCTGGCTGATGGGACTTAAGAGGAACCTGAGCCCAAACTCTGATTTATAACAAGGGGGTATATGGAAATATTCACTGTGCTAGCTAAAAACCAAAAATCTGTGAATAACTTTTGCAACTTGTAAAAAGCAAGAAAGTCCTCCTAAGGTGGTAAGCAGGAGTATGGAATTCCAGCAGGTATGGCTGCATCCCCAGATCTCTCACCCCAGAATGTAGCCCAGCACTCAATTTCCCCTGCAGACCAGCCAGTGAGTCAAGGCTGGGGAGACCCTCCGAACATGTTAAGGAAGGTAAATCTGAAATGGTAACATTTTCTGAATTTACTATTAATTTAATAATGGTTCACTTATATTTTTATGAGTTTTGCAATTTGTCCAAGTCTTTTCAGGAGAGGAGGGGAGTTTAACTGCCTTGATCTTCTTGGCTCTCAAATGAACACCAGCAACCCCAAGCAGCACATGAGGAAACTGGGTCAGCAAGGTCAAGTGGCAGGCTCGAGGACATGCAACTTGTTTGGCACAGTCAGAACTAGAATCCAGGTCACTTGACTCTCCAGAAGTGCCTCTTTAATGTCACATTATCTCCTGGACATCACTGCTGACTATCACCAAGAGCTGGGGGAGAGAGGAGCTCTTGCCCTGGCCCTCGGCCCTGTACATTCTAACCCATTTTGGGGGAAGGAGGTTGGGATTAAACCCAGAGGTGCTTTACCACTGAATTATCTCCCCAGTCCCTTTTAAAATTTTTATTTTTTATTTTGAGACAGGGTCTCACTAAGTTGCTGAAGCTGACCTCAAACTTGTGAACCTCTTGTCTCTGCCTCCCAAATTGCTGGGATTACAGATGTGTGCCACTACACCCAGCTCCTACCCACTTTTTCTGACTCTCACTGAGAGGAACAGCAGGCAGATGTCATCATCAAGCCTTCTGCAGTATAGGTAACCGAGGGATACAGAACTAAACTCTTCTGGCCAGGGGCAGAAATTAGAGCCCTAAGCCCAGTTTTCTTACTCCTTTCCTCTCCCAAGAATAGGAGGAGGGGAGAGAGTCTCTGCAGCATCTCTGAGGCACTCACTTCCTTGTCCCCTGGTCACAGCAGGACTGCCAGAGCACTTCCCAGACAGGAGGTTTCTGAGGAGACCGTAGCCCTGTGGGCCTCTGAGATTCCTTCCAGCCTCATCTTAGAAACACCTCTGCAGAGGTGGCAATAGCAGCAAGTTCTTAGAGACAAACCTGTGCCCGTGGTAGGATTTGTGGTTTTGTTTTTAAGAAACATACTTTTCAAAACAAAACAAGCTGGGCATGGTCGGGCACACCTGTATTCCCAGCAGCTCAGGAGGCTAAGACAGGAGGATCGAGAGTTCAAAGCCAGTCTCAGCAACAGCAAGGTGCTAAGCAACTCAGTGAGATCCTGTCTTAACACAAAATACAAAATAGGGCTGGGGATATGGCTCAGTGGTCAAGTGTTCCTGAGTTCAATCCCCAGTACCCATCCCGCCCCCCAAAAAATAAAATGATACCTACCTAGGCTGAATTCTAAAATGGGTTCATCTGGATCTTGTATGTTTCCTGAATAGAAATGAAAGAAAAAAATCACCTTTATTAAATCTTTCTTTGCTTTTAGATTTAATACAATAAAATCTACCACTCTACTTCTTCCCACCCCCAACCCCCAGTTATTATAGGAAATTATTTCTTTGCTTTCTAAACATTTTACTTTTGAGAAGCCTCAGGTTCTAAGACCACAATGCCCCTCCTTCTGGGGTCCACATGCCCACAATGCAGAGGGTTTGTCACAGCCAGGTACGTACTATGGACATTCCCATATCATCTATTGGCAAATGGGCCCCAGAGAGGCCCACTTAAACTGGAAAAGATGACGATCAGGATCTAGCAGAGCACTTCCCAAGGGGAGGGTTGACTGTCCCTCCCAATTTCCTAGATCAATCATAAGAAAGCCACAGCAGAGCACCCTCCCCATTCTTCCCGTCCATCCTATGCCCAGGAGGCAGGCTTGGACAGTGTGGGCCCTGCATGCTGAGAACTCACACCAGGGGCCCTGGGCAGACCCTGCGAGGCTCACCTGCCAGAGACAGGCCCAGCATATCAGCTGCCACATCGATGGTGGAAGCCCGTTGCATTGCACGGGCCCTTGCGCCATGGCGAGGGCTGTGCTCTCTTGCTGTCATGATGTCATTTGTGAGGATATGCTTCTTGTTCCTGGGTCAGACCACACCTGATTCCCCAGGAAGCAATGTCACCAAGTCCTAGTCTCCTAAGGTGGCAGGAGCCCTGAGAAATAGAAGCAAACACTGGTAAGAAGCCAGAAGGATGGTGACTGCAAGGCACTATGGAGAAAGAACAAGACCTAACATGGGCAAGAGGCAGTAACCAGGGTCCTCTGGCAGATAAGGCACTGGAGTGGCATACCCGCTGCTCTCAGCCCATCTAATTACTACTTCTCCCCTCCACTCCCCCAACACAGTGTACCCATGGATTCCCATAAAGAAAACATGTTCTCTTCAACAGATATGCCACAATAAATGATGTGACTTATGTGCTCATACAAATGGCTTCTGCCACATCCAGTGGCACATGTCTATAACCCCAGATACTCAAGAAGCTGAAGCAGGAAGATCAAAAGTTCAAGGCGAGCCTTGGCAACTTAGTGAGACCCTGTCTCAAAATTAAAAAATAAAAAGGACCAGGGATACAGCTCAGTGCTAGAGCATCCTGGGATCAATCCCCAGTATCACAAAAAATAAAAATAAATAAATAAGGCTTTTGGGATTTTTCTTGTTGCTTTATTATGCTCTCCTATCGGCAAGGCTTCCAGATCCTTTATAATCTCCAATCAGTTCACCCCTGCTTGGATAGAGGGACAAGAGCTGCGTGAGAGGCCTGTGGTCCACGGGCACAGAAGAACTCTGGCGGGACAAAACTCAGGTCTCTAATCTACTTTTCTGCTTCTCTGAGCTACACAAACTCCTGTGTGTCTTGGTCTCAGGCTCTGTTTCCCACAAAGCATCAAGTGGTAATCTGCGCCTACCTGAAGTGGAAAGTGCTGAGGTGAGAGGGTGCAGGGCGAACTGCCGCCACAGGCTGAGTCAGACAGAGACTGCCCTGGTGCAGAAGTAGGTTAAGCAGAGAGAATGGGGTGTCGGGGTTATCCAACCTATGTCCTACAACTCCTGCTGGATCCAGAGGAGCCAATCTTTGTAAGTCAAGATAATGAGGCTAAGTCATAAGGCTGTTAAAAACATCCTCTTGAATGTCTCCATACATCCAGGGAGACCCATCTTCCCAAGGGTTTCTAGGACTCTGTACCTGAAGGACCTGGGCTTCTTCTCTTGACTCAATTCAAGTGACTTACTGGACATGTTTGCTTTTGGACCACGTGGCATTTCTTCATAGAAGATCGTCCAAATCCATTATCTAAAAACAGAAAAGTAGAAACTTGATGAGCTGGTCAATCTGAAGCTCCTGAGAACACAAAGCCTAGAAAGGTGGGGAGCCAAGAGCTACTCCATGTTGTCTGAGCTCTATACCCCAATCTAACTTTTGGCTCAAAAACACAAATCTTGCTCAAACCTAAAAGAATAAGAAATAAAAAGTGCCCATTCCTTCCCCCAGCTGCCAAGGGGTAATCTGTTGGGGGAGTCTGGGCCTGCCCTACAGAGCCAAGTAAGCAGCTGAGTGGGTTTAGGAAAAACACAGAGATGTGAATCTGAGTTCCAGCTTTCTTGCTCACAAAACCAGACTCCAGGAGAACCCTTAGAGGCTATGCCTTTTGGCACTGAAGATAAGACTAGTTGTACACGTCACACAGGGCTGCAGCTGAAAACCAAATATGTGAGAAGAGGACTCCACTGAACCTCCCTCTGCCCCTGCTGCTGTTGCCTGGCTCCCAGAAGGAAGTGCCAGGCCCCACTCAGGACCCAGGGCCCAGCTCATGAGCTACCTGAAAGGTCCCAGGTTCTGGGAAGGGGAAGACAACAAGAAAAGTGTGCTCAGCCTTCAGGCAGACTGTTTCTGGTCCCTATCTCTTCCACTGGGGATGCTCAGGGGCCCTCAGCTAGGCACCTCAGCAACAGAACCTTGGCCTGACAGGGGAGCCACTTTAGAAATCACTAAGGGAAAGATTCACTGTTTTGTTGGTTTAATCACAGCCAGGCATGCAGGTATAGTCAAAAGGTTTACGAGGGCTGGGGATGAAGCTCAGTGATAGAGGGCTTTCTTAGCATATACAAGGTCCTGAGTTTGATCCCCAGTACTCCGGCCCATCCCCACCCCCACACAAAGGTGTACAAGCCAAAAAAATATTCAGTGCAAACTGTACAACTGTACAACTATAGTACTAAAACCGGCATTTTACAGTAATCTTGTTATAAATGAACAATAATTCACTAATAATGCAAGTGGCAAGTGGTATGAACTCATGAAAGATGAATACACATGGTAAATAATCTGGAAAAGAGACCAAACTCTATAATAATGAAAGCAATGCTAAATACACCTTTCTTCACCTAAATTAGTGGAGGTTTATCTGTTCCTCTAATGAAAATACATGTTGCTAGTGGACCTGGGGGACACTGCACAGGGCTCTCCTATACACGGGTAACATTTTAAAGTTGTATAAGCATTTCAGAAAACAAATCTTCAAAATTTATAAGTGATAACAATATTCGTAAGTGATACAAGATTTGTAAGCAATAACAAGATTCTTGCCAATAATATAAAATATGTAATGGACTACTGAACAGAGACACCTGTAGCATTACTTCTAATGACAAAGACCAGCTATCAGTACGTATGTTCTGGAAAAACCATAAGATATGCTATTTATTATACAGCTGCTAAAATGATCCTAATAAAGCCCATAAACACATGAGAAGTTCTTTAACCTCATTTGTCATCAGGGAATGCAAAATGAAACCATGAGCTACCCCTGAACACCCTCTAGAGGAGCTTCAAGGGAAAGAGTGGGCAGAGCCAAGTGCTGGCAAGGATGTGGGATGGTAACTGCCCCGACGTAGCTGCTGCAGCAGAAGCAGTGTGGCCACTCTGAAAACCTGGCCATCTCTTTGCAAGCCGAGCATCTGCCTCTCCCATGACCCAAGACACCACTAAGGGTGCAACAGCTAACAGAAATGCATACTTATGTCCACCAAAACAAATGTGTGCAGAACATTTAGAGCAGTGACAGCCTTAACTGATAGTAAGATCCCAGAGATAATCCAAACCCTAATCAACAGCAGGATGGCTGGAACAATGTGGATGAACTTTGGAGACAGTGTCATGGGGAAAGCCAAGCACACAAAGCCTGCTCTAGGCAGGGCTGCCTGTGTGGGGTGCCCCCAGGCATGGAAGTGAGTGAGGAGTCAGCAGAGGGCTTTCCACTGGGAAGGGCTAGTGGGGCTCTGGTAACACTCTCTTTCTTGGTTTGGGGTCTGGTTCCCTGAGTGACTACACTGAAGATTCACTGAGCTGTGCATGAGTGGGTTTTGCACCTCAATAAAATGTGCATTTTATTCCTCTACTAACTATAATAAAGACAACACAGCATGAACAAACGCTGATGTGGGCTCTGTGTATCAGGTGTGCTTTAATGAACTATTCCAACTGCGATCTGGTCACAGTTATTTAAAGAGCAATGACCCAGAGGGAAGGAGCCCCAGGGAGACCACACTGAGACACTGGCCATGTCTGGGGTGATCATGGGGTTTGTGTTTTCTGTCTTCCTGTACCTCATCCCTGCTCAGTTTGGGACTGAAGGAGTCAGGGAGACACTTTGCATGGGACAGCGGAGACACATCACCTAACCGAGGGCTTCATCTGTACCCCACCATCTTGCCAGTCCTTGGGGGCTCCACTTTAATCCCTTCTCCTCCTCCAGCTGGGTCCCTGCACATTTTTACATTATTATAGGTGTGGTGACGTCTCTGGAAATAGAAATCCTTCGAGTAGAACATCTACAGACTAATTTTACACTAGATCATGGGTCAGAGAAACTTTTAGGTCAAAAATACCTCAGAAGCCACTTCATAGTTATTTGGGGGCATTTAATTAGAATCTGCAATTGAAGTCACCAAGACCCAGAACGTGAAGCTAATTTGCACAGCTGAACTCAATTTTCCTTCTTGGTCTCATTAATTTCAGATAATTCACCAAGGACTCCTGTATTCCCAAAGCCCATGTTTTCTTTCCCAGCTTCATCTGAAGATCAGACAAAGCTCATTAGGAGGAAGAAAAAAAACAGGGCTTAATTCAGGGAGCAGAGAGAGAATGTTGGAGTTATTTTGGGGGCTGAAATTTCTTCTTGGGGGCAAGAAGAAAGCAGCAATTGATCATGAAATTCACGCCCCTTTTCCTCACTCTGGAAATACGGGACCCCTTTCAGCAAGAGAACGCATGTCATCAAATGAATAGCAAACCCTGAGGTCCCTCCCACCAAGGTCCCCTCTCCTAGGCAATGATGACAAGGGATCCTGGTGAGTCAGAGTGATGTGGGGCTCCATGCAGGGAGTAGGATTCGTTAGTGCTGGCAAGGACTCTCGGAAGCGTCTAAGGAACCCGGCTTGGGAAGGAACTTAGGAATCTCAGGCCATGAAGGAGTCTGAGAGGCCCCTGGCCTTCAGTGGCCTTTCAGGGGCTGCTGAGACAGTCCTGAGGATAGGGATGAGCCATAAGAACTCCACTTTGGTCCATCTTATACACTGGCATTCTTCTGAAAATAATCTTCAAAAGAAGTTGCAAAGATGAGATTGCACAAGTACAGACAGGTGATTTTCTCAAGGTCACCTGGAGGTGAAGAATGAACTACCAGAATCCACGCAAAGCAAAAAGCCCAAATATGACTGGGGCTCCTCTGCTGCCCCGCCCAGCCCTTTGCTGGCCTTGTGGCAGCAAACAAGCCAAGAACCTTCCCTGTGCCCCCACTGTGCACACACAGGCAGAGTACAAACACAGGGACAGACAGGACCATGAAAACTATGAGAGTCAGTGTGAGTCAGCGGCCCCTGAGGGAGAGCTACTTTAGGAGGTGGAAAAGAAGAGGAACTTTCTCTCAAAAGCCGGAATCCAGGATAGCTGATATCACTGCTCGATGAGGTGTCTCACCACTCATGGGCACCCAAAATTACTATTATAACAACCTAAGATGACAAATGTCTCCTTCCTCCAGGAAGCCTTTACTGTAGACAGACCTTACTGAGAAGGGTTCCCCTGACAGGGCTAAGCATCTGTACCTCAGGTTACTGCACTTCCTCGAGTGACAGTGGAAGAGCCATCTGGGAACCTTGTGTTTCTCCCATGTCCTCTGAGGTGCCTAGCTCAAGCCTAACCCTGCACCAGGGTGCCTAATGCATACCTGATGCTTAAACAAATCATCAGCCTCTGTGCTCACCTCTCTGGCTCCACCCCCCTTCTCAGGCACAGTGACAGGTCCTTCTCTCTAGTACCCTTCCAGTTTTGTCAAGCTGTGTGACGAGTGCAGAAGAGGCACCTGCCTACATGTGGATGGTAAAACACTCTTGAGATCTCTTCCCAGCTTGTAGTGGAGTAGGCAGATGATTCCAAGGCCCCAGGGTAACTCAGAGTCACAAGATGGAAGGAAATCAGGTCCTTGAGATCCTGTGGAGCACAGCCCTCTCCCCTCCTTTTCCCCACATACATACTGGGCTTAAGTTAAGCAAGAAATAAGCCTTTGTGGATGAAGCAGCAATTGATCATGAAACTCATGCCCCCTTTCCCCACTCTGGAGACATGGGACCCCTTTCAGCAAGAGAACGCATGTCATCAAATGGATAGCAAACCCTGAGGTTTGGGGGGTTTTGTTATAGCATCTAATGTTAGTTACCCTGAAATGTCTGGCAATACCAGGCACTCAATTAGCCACTCTAATGAAACAAACATGACAATCAGCACTTAAGACTTGAGCACAGCCTGGGAGAAAAGGATGCTTTGTTCTCTGGGTGAAGTATGGCTGGTTCAGGACAAAGGAGCACACAGGTGATAGAGGGACCACCAAGAGGCCAAGAAATAGGAAGAACGCAGAGAAATAAAGATCTCACATCAGTAGAAAGTCAACCAGACAAGAGCATTTGCCTCCTACGGGAACCAGGAAAAAACTCAGTTTCTGCTACAGTTCTCTCACAATCGAGAACAGGTTTATGAAGCCCAGGTACCTGGGATATTCCCACGCACCAATCAATTCCACAGCACAGTCTCCAGCAGGCACTAGCTGGGAGTCCTCTACTCTAATCCAATTTGATCCTGACACCATCTGAAAATGGTGTCAGAGCCCACAGGCTGTGGGTTCAGGCCCACAAGACTGCCCCCCCCATTTCAGATGCCAATCACAAGCTCAGATTGTCACCTATACTTCTGACCCCTGGCTATCACCTGGGAGTTCTGACTCTCTTTAGGTTCAATTA